TATGTGAACAGCAGGGACAGATGTCTCATCAGTGTTGAGAGAAGTCTAGTTTCGGGCACTCACAGGTGTCCCTTTTAATTCCCCTGACCTGTCTCCCATTTGATCTCCAGGCTTCAACTTCTACCTTAAAACCAAAGCCCTCAATTCCATCAAGTCATTTCTGACTCAGTGACCCTGCAGCAGGTGCACGAGGCTGTACTTCTCTATGAGAAGGTATCCATCTTCCTCCTGCAGAGCATGGATTTGAACTGCTGGCTTTTCACTTAGCAGTACAGCACATGTTCACACAGTGCCACCAGGGCACGCACTTACAGCCTAGGAGTGGGCAGATTAAAACTCTTATGAAAAGGGAGTGGATTAAAGACTATGTCCCCATTTAAATAGGCTGTAGCCTAGGCCATGTTTCTGTTGTATGTGTGAGAGCAGGGGTGAGGGGAGGGGTTGGAGCTGGGGTCCCTGTTAGCATAGCCAGAGCGAGGATTGTTAAGCAGGAGCTCAGAAACGGGCTGCAAAGCTTTCTAAAATTACGGATTCATTTTTTTGTAGTTGTGCACTATTGAATATTTCTGAAGAAATTTTTTTTGTCTTTCACTGCATTCTCCTAGATGTGATAAAAACCACTTCATCTAGGGGAAAGTATTCTCAAATGCCATTAATTTCTTCAGCAGTTCTTAAAACATTTCCTTTCTAAATTTCAAATAGAAAAATATTGAGAGAATAATACAATTTGCTCCTAGGTACTACCTGTATGTGTTAGTTCCTTACCGTTCACTCAGTTTTATTTCTCTGTATGTATTTCGTGTGGCTATGAAGATACAATTAGGATCCATCTGTCTATCTCCCTCCCATGAAACCTTTAATTTATTACTTTTTCTCCCTAAATGCATCCAGTCAGCTTTCCCATATTGTATATATTAGTCTTTTTAAATCTGAAACAGCCCCCTGACTTTTAAAGGAATGGTTTGATTATCTGGGATGATATCCTAATTTCTGAATTTTCTGTGACTTGATACTACCCAATTGGCATTTCTGCTCTCTGCAGTCCTTACAGAAGCAACCATTTGCTGAGTGTACAAGGCCTTCAATAAGCCGCCTCCCATTCCTTGACACACTCATTATCTAGGGTAGGAGAGGTCCAGCATGCTTCTGCTGTGGGGCACACCCCATGGAGGCATGAGGAAGGTGGTTCTAGAAAGTGATTTTCCTGCTGGTTTTTTGCAGAGATGGGGAGAACATGTGGCTGGATGGGCATTGAAAACTGAGACCAGTTGTTGCGGGGACTGTTGGCTGAGTGACACTGGGAGGTGCCAGCCCGAAGGTGGCTGGGAGCAGGTTGTGAAGGGTGATGAATGTTGTGCGGAACAACTTAGAGTTCTTCCCCTGGTGGCCTGGAGAACGGTGACCGCACATTGTTCTTAGGTCACAGTTTTCCCTCTAGATTACAGTTTATTTTTCATGTTCTTTCTACCCTGAACTAAATCTTGTGATGTGTTCCCTTCCCGCAGGGGTGTGTGTGTGTGTGTGTGTGTGTGTGTGTGTGTGTGTGTGTAAAAGAGTAAGTGTGAGTTTTCTCCCTGGGGAGAGGCTCTCTTTAGAACCTGTGTGTGGGGTGCTTCTCAGGAATGCATTCCTCCCCCGTGTTATTGTTCATCTGTAGATTTTCCTGTCATTAAGGGAAAGTTGACCACAGGTGTGAGTTCAGTTCCAAGCTTGAAGAGTGACCAAGGACCATAGCCTCAGGTCTATGCTTCCATCTGACCAGTAAGCCTGGTCTTTATTATTATTATTACTATTTTGAGTTCCACATTTTTCTCCTACTCCAGCCAACACCTTCATTGTGTGATGCCTCTAATTGAAGCTGATAATGGTAACCAGGCACCATCTAGTTTTTCTTTTTTTTTTAATTTATTTTTGTGTATGTACCATCAAATTGATTGGATCTGTCTGGTACAGGAGGAGATTGCCCCTCCTTTTCCAGCAGAGCATCTGGTGGATTTGAACTGCATATCTCTGGGATCATAGTGCAGCTTCTTGCTACTAGGCCACCAGAGCTCCCAAGCTCTTCTTTAAAAAAAAAAAAAAAAATTAAGTTTAATGAAAGTTTACAGAGACTTTGGATTTCCATTTATTCATTGTTGCACTTTCTCCCTGCCCAATATCCCCTCCCTCTGTACCCCCATTTAGCTCTTCTTACCTCTGGATGATGGAGGCGGTGGTTCACGTATATCTCCATACATTTTTTATTTTTGTCACTCTCCTTTCCTCTGGATGGAGGGAAACTCTTAATTTCTTCTTTTTCTTATAACTGACCCTCCAGTGGGTTTTCAGAGGCTGTAAATCATATGGGAGGAGATTGCCCACTTTTTCCTGTGCAGCTCCTGGTGGATTGGAACTGTCTGTCTTTGAGTTGGCAACAGAACTCCTTAACCTACCAGACCACCATTGTCTGAGAGCTATGCAGTGCCAATGGACCTTGATATTCCCTGAGACTATGGTCCTGAACTTGAAGACCCAGTAGCCCATTCCCTCTTTATGGTTGATTGTGGCTAAGATATTTTCATAACTGCCCCTCTATGATCTGCTATATTCTTTTTTTTTTTTGATCTGGTATATTCTTTGATATTTTCACAACACAGGACAAGACATAAATATTTTTGGCAAATCCAGATATATTTGTGGTTCTGGCCCCATTTGCCTTTCTACTTCTATTCAGCTTGTGTGTCTATGTATCTACTCTTAGATTACTGTTATTACTGCTGTTGCAAGATTGTATATGTAATAAATAGTATTTACTTTTGTTGCTTTTAGTTCTTATGCTCCTCTAGTATCTTCCTTTGCTCCGATTATTTTGTGTTAATATCTCTCTCATGTATACAGTGTTAGTGTGTACCCTCCAGTTAATGATTTACCCTCAAATTTCCCCACTCCTATAACTATCAAAAACCATTTCTCTGTGAATCTTTTCCTTGACTTTATATAGTATTGATCTGCTACAATATTTGTTCTTTAGTGATTCATTTCACTAAGTATGTTGCCTTCCAGTTCCTTTATGCTATAAAATGTTTCATAGAGTTATTGGTACTCATTAACACTAGGTCATAGTCTACCTTGTAGAAAACTTACCCATTCTTCTGTTGAGAGCCAGGTCATCTTGTTGTTGTTGTTATATGCTGTCAACTAACCCGCAACTCATAGTGATGCTATATATAACAGCCCTAAACCCTGCGCCATCCCTTGCCAATCTTATTGTCTCAGACACACCTGTCGTCATTATACCCCAGTGGCTGAATCAATCCATCTCACCGAGAGTCTTCCTCTCCTGCGCTGTCCCTCCACCCTCCCAAGCATGATGTCCCTCTCCAAGGACTGATCACGCCTTGCAGCATGTTCAAAGTATGTCAGACAGAGCTTCAGAATCCTTGCCTCCAAGGAGCAGCCTGGCTTCACCCTCTCCAGGATGAACTTGTTTGTTCTTCTAGCAGTCCCTGTTATATTCAGTACTCTTCTCCAGACTACAGCTCAAAGGCATCCATTTTCTTCTATCATCCCTTGTCATTGTCCAGCTCTCTGATGCATAGCAAGTAATTACAAAGACCATGGCCTTCATGGCACTCCTTGACCTTCTGCAGCAAGTGCTTCAGGTCCTCCTAAGTTTCAGCAAGCAGGGTTGTATCATCTGCATAATGTAGATTGTTGATGAATCTACCTCCAATCTTGATGCCACACTTCTCTTTAATAGAGCCCAGCCTCCCAGATAATCTGTTCTGCATGCAGACTAAAAAGAGATGGAGATAGGACATATCTTTGATGCACACCCTTCCCAATTTTGAACCATGCAGTGTTTCCTTGCTCTCTGTTCTAACGACTTCCTCTTGGTCCAAGTATAGATTTCGTGTAAGTACAATCAAGTGTTTTGGGATTCCCATTTTTCTCAGAGTCAGCCACATTTTGTTGTGATCCACACAGTCAAATGTCTTTGCATAGTCAGTGAAACATAGATAGACATTCCTCTGGTACTTTGCTTTCAGCCAAGATCCATTTGACATTAGCTATAATATTCCTAGTGCCACCGCCTTTTCTAAAGCCAGCCTGCACTTTAGGCAGTTCTCTGTTGCTGTTCCAGTTTTTGGATAATCTTCAGCAGAATCTTGCTTGCATGTGATATCAGTGATACTGTTTGATAATTTCTGCACTCTGTTGGGTCACCTTTCTTTGGAATGGGAATAAATATAAATCTCTTCCAGTCAGTAGGCCAGGTAGTTGTCCACTAAATTTCTTGGCACAACTTGGTGAGAACATCCAAGGCAGCGTCACTTTGTTGAAATATGTCAGTTGGTATGCCATCAATTCCTGGGGCCTTGCTTTTTGCCAATTCTTTCAGAGCAGCTTGAATTCTTCCTTCATCACTGCAGGCTCTTGCTCATATGTTGTTTCATGAAATTCTTCTGTGTCTTCCAATTCCTTTTGTTACAGTGACTCTGTATACTCTTTCCATCTTCTTTTAATGCTTCCTGGATCATTTAATATTCTGCCCCAAACATCCTTAAGTATTGCAACTCGAGGTTTGAGGCATCTAGGTTACTGCTTTTCTTTATTGTGAATGATAAGTCTGTGAACATGGGTGTGGGTGCATCTTTTTGAGAGCTTATGTCCCTTTGGGCTCCATTTCTGGCAGCTAAGTTCTCTGGCTTCACTGGTCAGTAGAATCCTTCACTTTGTATGTTGGGTGGCCTGCGACATAATGAGCCTGACCTGAGTGTCTGTTTGCTTACACAGGGTCATCTAGTCTTATTTTCTGTTTTGCTTAATGGAGTTGGTGTTGGCTGTTAGCATCTTGTTCCTGCCCAGGTACTGAGGCCAAATTCCAGGAAATGGACATGTGGTTGTGAGTCTGGACTCATCCCTCAGCCCTTGCTGATGAGTGCCAAGGCCTTGAGGCTGGAGGGGTGTTTGGGGGAGTCTTACCTCTCATTGACTTACAGCGTTCTCTTTCTGTTTAGTTTGTGCTGAAGAATTATGGAGAGAATCCAGAAACCTACAATGAGGAGCTGAAGAAGCTGGAGTTACTCAGACAGGTAAGAAGACTGTTTTTATGCAGAAATACCCAGGACTGGCTTGATGGAGCACAGATTAGGCAAATCACATAACTGCGTTCTTATTAAATGTCAAATTCCGTTTTCAGGGAGCTTCAGGGACGTAGTTTGTAGCACGTGGCACAGCTAACCCAGAGGCTGACTCACTTCCCCCGGCAGCTCCTCCGGAGGAAATGGGGCAGGCTTCTCTTGTGATTGCCGGCCACTCCGTGGAGGGTTGCTGTGGGTCAGAACCAACTAGATGGCAGTGAGAATGAATGAGTGAGTTCTTTTTCCTCAAAAACAATGACAGCAATGACACAAAAATTAGAAAAGTGTTTAAAAGAAAGCAGAATGAAGTCTAACTTTAGGCTGAAGTCCAGAAAGAAGTGAAACAAACAAAAAAATCCATTTACAATTTTACATGGTGTAATTTACTTCTTGGACAGCTAATTAAAAGGTCTGTAGTTCAAACTCACTAGACTCTTTGGGAGAGAGATGGGAGTCTTGCTGTTAAGATTTACAGTCTTGGGAAAAAAAGCATTTCCATGTGTTGCATTTGACTTGATGGCATTGGGTATGGGATCGCTTTATAGATGCATGTAGGTCAACAACTCAGCTCCTTGCTGTTGTGTTAGAACCTACTTAAAGCTGACCCTGTGCCACCAGGAGGAGATCCCTAAGTAGGGTTAAACATCACCTGTTCTTCCTTGCCCTGGAGGATGTCCAGCCAGGATGTTCCTTAGAGCCAAGTATGGTGAAACTGTCTCATATAGGGACTTGTTCTTGGGAAATGATACCATGCTGGAAAAGGTGGAACATCAGAGGAAGACCCTCAGCAATTTGAGTTGACACAGTGACTTTAATAATGGATCGGAGCACATCAGAGAAGAGGATGGAGCAGGATAGGGCAAGGTTCTGACCTTGTCGTTGGTCACTGAGTCATTGTTGACTCCATGGCAGCATACTGACTTGGAATCTGCTTTTTTAATTTAACAGTCTATTTTGTTGTTTCTTGGCGCCTATTTTTAGTATGTTTCTCTACCAAGAAAACAATAATAATTTTAGGGTTAGGGGCTTTTTTTTTAAAATTTTATTATTTTTGTGTGCGTGTACCGTCAAATCAGATCTGACTGGTACAGGAGGAGATTGTCCCTCCTTCCCCGGCAGAGCATCTGGTGGATTCGAACCGTGCGCCTCTGGGATTGTAGTTGCAGCTCCTTGCCACTAGGCCACCAGAGCTCCCCTGGGTTAGGGGCTTTTTGGGTGAAAATGTTGTTGTTGTTGTTGTTGTTGTTGTTGTTATGTGCCGTCGAGTCATTTGCGACTCATAGCGACCCTATGTACAACAGCCCTAAACCCTGCTCTATCCTGTGCCAGTCGCACTGCCTCTGACACACCCATCCCGATTACCCAAGTCACTGAATCAGTCCATCTCATAGAGGGTCTTCCCCTCTTGCGCCATCCCTTTGCCAATTCAACAAATTGTACACAGACTTATTTCAGTGACATTGGTTCCATTTTTCAAATTATATAACCATTGTTCCTATTTTCCCTTAAGTAATTCCACCACCATTAATGTCCATTCCCCTTGCATTAGTGTCCCTTTTCCCTTCCTTCCCACCCCTAGCTGTCATTAGGAATCACTAGTTTCTATGTATTTGATTATTTTGTCCAAGTGAGAACATACAGTATTTGCCCTTTTGAAAGTGACTGATTTGTTTTTAAGGTTCATTTATGTGCATCAGGATTTTATTTCTCTTTATGACTGAGGAAGTGGAGGAGGAATAATCATTGTCATTATTCTTTGAGTTTGTCCATTCACCTGTTGATGGACCTTTTAATTGATTTCTGCTTTGTGAAAATGTTGGAGTGATTTCTGCTTTTACTTCTTCTGGATGTATATCTAGGATTGAGATTACTGGGCCGTATGATAATTCTCTGTGCAACTTTTTTGAGGAAGTATCCGCCTTTTTTCAGCAGGCTTGTAAGATTTGACATGAACTGCAAACCCAAAGGCATGCGGTTTGAATCCACTAGCTGCTCTGTGGAAGGAAGAAGGACATTCTCCTCCTATGTGATTTACTGCCTCTGAAAACCCACTGGAGGGTCAGCTATGAGTTGGTTTTGATTTGATGGACAGTGTATAAGATGTTCCCCCCACAATCTTGCTTTAACGTTCATATTTTCTGGTGGGTTTTTTTTTTAAACATATCGTTGCCCATGTGGTTTTGATTTGCAACTCTGTGGTGGAAAATCTACTTTTAAGGACCTCTTCTGAGTGCTAAAGAGCAGGGATGCTACTTTTTTTTTTTTAAATGTGTGTGTATGTGTTCCATCAAATCAGATCTGACTGGTACAGGAGATTGTCCCTCCTTCTCCAGCAGAGCATCTGGTGGATTAGAACTGTTCACCTCTGGGATTACAGTACAGCTTCTTGCCAGGATGTCACTTTAAAGACTAAAGTGTATCTGACTTTAGCTGTGATATTTTCAGTTGCCTCATATGTATGTGAAAATTGGACAATGAATAAGGAAGACCGAAGAAGAAATGATGCCTTTGAATTATGTGTAAGCAAGGAGTATTAATTATACTTTATGTCATTCCTCCAAAAGAAGGAACAAATCCGTCTTGGAGAAATGTGGCCCCAGCCGACTGTTAATTGCAGAGTGACTGCCTCGGTGGGTTCTGGAGCACCAGCCGTGCTTCACTTAGCTCAGAGTCCCTCTTCAGATGGGGCCATTCACCAGGTGGACTCACAGTTCCTCTGTTCTCACTCCGTTGATTTTTCCTGGGACTCGAGAATTCCAGCCCATGCTCTCCTCCCTGGTCCACCCTATACCTGACTCCTTTACCCCTGACTCCTCAGGTATTTTGGACAGGTGTGTACTTCTCAACTGTCAGTCCCAGGGCGGACTTACTAAAGAACTTCAATCTGTGCTGTGCTCACCATGGTCCACTTTCTGAGGCCTTAGAGAAACTCCACCCCCTTGGTTAATGCTCTTCAGGCCATTTTGTTCTGGGCTCGGGCTGCACCCACCTTGCCTCTCTGTCCGGAGCCCCGCTGCTCATGTATTGTGACTTGCACTGTACCAACCACGTGGCTGTTTTCCAAGGCTCATGAAGAACTCCTGACTACCGAGTGTCCAAAGAGCCACTCTGGCCGAGGTGTAACCCACTTTATACTCTGTAGAGCATGAGCCTGGGGCTCTGTGCCCTCGGATGCTGCCAACAGCTGCCTTACGGTGGCCATGCTGAACTGGATAGCGAGTAAACAATCATGTTCTTCCTTTATCATTTTCTTGCATGGTTTTATATTTTACTAATGTTTATTCAGACTTCATGCATTTATTTGGGTGTAAGGCATGTGAGAGAGGCTTGAAATTGACTCCCCTCCCCCGCCCCCCCCCCCGACAGTTCTAGGATATTCTTTATCATGCCCAGTTCTCTAGACAGAGCTCTGGTGGCCTAGTAGATAGAGTTGTGCTGCCAGCTCAAAGACACATGGTTCAAATCCACCAGCTGCTCTGCAGAACAAAGATGGGGAGTCTTCTCCCATGTGCTTTATTGCCTCTCAAAACTTACTGGTGTGTCAGCTGTGAATCAGTTCTGACTTGACAGCCCATAAGAACAACAGTTACTTCCATTTCTGGATTTCTTGTTCTCTCTCTCTCTCTTCCCCCCCTCCAGCCAGTCTCATAATATTTCAATTGTTGCCTCTGTTACACATTTCAGTATTTGATAAGATTAATCCTATTAGTAACTTTCCATGAGAGTTCTCACATGACTGTTCAGTACAGAACAGTTTTGTTCATTTCTTTCCTTTTTTTTCTCTATAATTATATTTTATTAATTTTCATAAACATTTACAGAGATTTTGGGCTTCCACTCATTCATTGTTGCACTATTCTCCTTACCCTCCTCCC